GCTTTGACCTTTCTTCAAAGAATATCTATCCAGTCTCCCTGGGCCCTGCTTTGCACTGGCTCTTATTTCCAGCCCAGTGTCCTGCCCTATCTCTCAGCTGCCGCTATTCATCTATTCCTTCAAGGTCACCTGTTCCTGGTTCTCTGCCTTTTGCCCTTCAGATAAAACACGTGGCCTTTTGTCCTTTGGGATATTATTTGTGTCTTTTTTTTATCTCTTCCTCCGGTGGCCGTTCTGATTTACACTGAAGCCAATTTTACATTCCTTGGTTTTGTTTATTCCTTGTGGGTTAATAGCCTGTAGATTTAATCACTGATGTACACCAGCCTTATGATCTGGGTTCCTTTGTTTTTCAGATGAATATCCTACCCCAAGGACATACTGATTGTGACTGGGAACCATCCAAACACATCGCTTCTTCCAAATCCCATTCCAATCTCTGCTGCTTTGAGAAGTTTGAGCTTTTAACTCTACGTGGATTTGATTTTTTTTATATATATATATATATAAATAAATATATACATACATATATATGGATCTTTGGTTGTTCGGGTTTTCTCCCGCGTAAGATTCGAAGTATCTAGGCAACGTTTCGATGAAGTCTCATTCATCATCTTCAGGCTTCTGTCTCCGGCTCTGTGCTACTCTGAGAAGTACAGAGCCGGAGACAGAAGCCTGAAGATGATGAATGAGACTTCATCGAAACGTTGCCTAGATACTTCGAATCTTACGCGGGAGAAAACCCGAACAACCAAAGATCCACATACAAATACCCGCGAGAACCTCAGAAAACATACATATATATATATACACATACATATACATGCACACATACATATATATACAGGCGAGACTGTATTTTAAATAGTTAAAGATAACGTTTATGTTTTATTCAACAAGCCCTTTCATTATTTATTAACCATTTCCATTACACTAAATCATTGGAATTTACCTCTCTTTCTGCCTTTCCGTTGTCTTGCAACATACTGGCGGTTGCCCAGGTAGAGAAGTGGAAAAGGGACTTAAGGAAGACTTTAGAGACGATGGACAGACTCCTGCAGTCGGATCTCTCCCATTCCTGCTGCAGAGCTAAGATGGATGGCATTTTTTTTTCTATTGGCTGGTGATCCAATGAAGGGGGAAAGCCAAAGACAGAAGAATCAATGGATTCCCTTGGCTTATCTCATGCTGCTACTATCCATTCAGTCATATCTAACTCTTGGCGATCGTCCACGTCTACAGATCTTGCACTACTTCTTTGAGTCGATCTATACTGGTGTCTGGTCTCAACTTTGATGGTTTCCAGCCACCATGTTCTTTGGCAGCCTGGTTTACTTTTACCACTAACTCTTCCAAGCATAATTGCTTTCTCCAGTGAATTCCCCTGCATGATGTGGCCAAAATAAGTAAGAGGCAGTTTTCTGAGTTTTGCCTTCCAGTGACCTGTCTGGTGTTATGTGCTCCAGTATTCGCTTGTTAGTCACCTTTGCAGTCCAAGGAATATGTGCTACACATACAAAATGAAGAGAGCACAATTCAGCAGTTAAGTCAGAAAAGGCACAGTAACAGGAGGATAGAGACGGGGTAGGGAGGGAGGAGGCAGCAAAGATTATGCACCTGCTGTCCTGCCCTCTCAAGGATGGATGGACAACAGTTTGACTCAGTTGCAAGCAAAAGCTTTTGTCTGTAACCATTGGTAGCAGAACAATTTAAGTATTAACTGTACACTGCATTAGAAAGTATAGTTTCCTGTACAGCATATTGCTGACTACAGTTTAATTGCAAGTTACCTTTCAACTATTACCCGTTAAAACGCTTAAGGTTGAATGTAACAATATATTTTTCATTGCTGAATGTTTTTACTCCTGCTTTTTCCTTTCTGTAAGTGAACACCTAGTAGCAATAGGATTGACAGGGGTGAATTCTCAGGAAAAGATGTGGCTGCTTTTAAGAGTTACAAATGGTGCCACTCTTGTGTTCCTTCCAGGCCCTGAAGCACCACCTTAAGGGTCAAATCCAAAACGCGGAGCAAATCCAGGAGCCAGTGTTTTCAGAAGAAATGGTGTCATTTAACATAGCCAAGATCTTCTTAAATCCAGCTTTTTGAAAGGATGCCACTCCAGTACCAAACAGCATCTCAGTGTCCATCCAGAGTACAAAATATTTTTTTAAATAAATTGTGGCGTTAGTATTTCAGGAGCCAAGGTGATCGAAGTGCAAGATACTATGACTTCATCGCCTTGACTCCTGAAATACGAATGACACAATTTAAACAGATGACAATTATTAGGGGGGAAATGAACATGCACATTTCAGGATTTTCAGTAACTGTGTTAAAATCTTGAACACCGCTGCTAAGAATTTGTGCACAAGGACGCCAGCCGCAATGCAATGATTTAACTGAGGGAGGCACAAAGGTTGAAATAATTTTCATACGTCCAAAGAAGGAATCATCAGGCCTTGGGATAGAATAGGATAACAGAGTTGGAAGGGACCTTGGAGGTCTTCTAGTCCAACCCGCTGCCTAGGCAGGAAACCCTACACCACTTCAGACAAATGGTTATCCAACATCTTTTAAAAACTTCCAGTGTTGGAGCATTCACAACTTCTGGAGGCAAGTTGTTCCACTGATTAATTGTTCTAACTGTCAGGAAATTTCTTAGTTGCTTCTTTCCTTGATTTTTAATCTTTCAGTCAAATATGAGAATGATAGATATGTCAATGGAGATGGTTAGTCAGCACAGTTGACCCAAAGCTGCTTTTTCAAGAGGGAACTGGACTTTCTTTGTTTTTCCTTGAAGACGTTTCGCTTCTCATCCAAGAAGTCAGAACTGAAGAAATTTCTTTGATAAGAAGCGAAATGTCTTCAAGAAAAAAACAAAGAAATTCCAGTTGCCTCTTGAAAAAGCAACTTTGGGATGAGGATGACAGACATGTTATTATGGTGGGTTGGGGCTGTTAGATGACTGAACAGCATTCATAATTAAAGAAAAGGGAAAAAAACACAGTATGCTGTTTCAGCGAAAACTTGATTGTGACATGTAAATTCTTTGCTTCCAGTTAATCCAGAATTCTGGTTACACCTGCAAGGTTCAGGTGAGGGTTTATGTGTAAAGGGAAAAAGAATGTGGATATATGAATATATAGAAAAATGAATATAAGATGATGGCTATAAAAAAATAAGGATCAATATTGATATGTAATGCTTATGTACAGAATAAGAAAATGGCAAAGAATAGTAAAAAGTGCAAGGAATGGTTAAGGGAAGCAAAGAAAATGCAAAATAATTTTGATGAAAATTTTTAAAAAGCCTATTTTGTAAGTGGGTTAAAAAGCTTTAAAAGGAGTCTCAAGCTGAATAAATATATTAAAAATTATAAGGGCTGAATGGATGTAAGTAACTGAAACTGATGTGGGAGAATACTGAAGGAGAATTTTAGACATTTTTATGGGAATGATCATGGACATTATTTTGTTGAAAAGTGGGATTAAAACAAAAGCTATAAATGTTACTGTCCAAAAGGCAAAAAAAAAGTGATGAAAAGGGAGTAATTACATGCAGTGAGAAGGCTGAAAAAAAATGTCAGGCTGCCAGAATAGACAAAGTTAAGTGAATAAACGTTCAAGTCAGAATGTGACTGATATGAAGTGGCTTTGTGAGTTATTTAACATACGTGAGGACCATCTGTGCCTGACAATTGGAAGAATGTTGTTATTGTTCCATAGGAGAGGCAGTAAAATTACAGGAAGAGATTAGTTCCTGCCTTATCAGAATTAGGATGAAAGGAAAGAGAAGTAACAATAAGAAAAATCTGGGGAATACCAAGCAGGAACACACACACCAGTTCCTTATTCTTCTATAGTTATGAATATGAGAACATTCTTTGTGCATTTGTTGATTCATTCACAAAGTGAATGAACTTGATTTATGGAATGGTTTTCATAAACTGAAGTTGAAGGTTGACTGCCAAATGGAGTAATATGATAGGAATAAAGAATTTGTGAAAAGAAACAGAAAGCTTAGCTAATAGTTCAGAATTGAGCAGAATTAAGAAGAATATAATACTATATATCGCTGTGATTGTTTAATGTTATGGATATATGGATAAAGATTGTGGTTGGGACAGCAGAGGTGTTAGACGCACAAGTGTGAATGCGGGGAAGTTTTTATTGATGGGTGAGAAGAACCCATAGCGGATGTTAGATTGCATGACACGGTGAGGAGCAGGCTCTGATGAAAATTTAAAAAACCAGAATGGTAAATCACTGCAAACTATATATAACCAGTGAAAATTTGTAGACAAAATTTTTGTACCTTAGTGGAATGTTGAGTAAAGATGGAAGTATAGGAATGTAGAAAGTTTGGGGACATATAAGTGATGGCAGAAAGGTATGTGTATATATCTAGTATGTGATCGGTTTCCAAGGAATGTTTATTGAAACGAACAATAATGTGTGTGCGTAAGGGCATGCTGAAGTACAAAGAAGAAATAATAGGTCCGGGAATGAATGGATGCTGAATGAATACAGATCAAGATCAAAACAGGACTAGTATGAGAAATATATGTTGAGGTGATTGAAGCACAGAGAATGAGGATCAGATTTCAAACAAACATAGAAAGGAAAAATGAAAGTGTCAAGAAATTAGGGGGTAGTTGTTGAAAACCTCAGAAAGGAAGAGAAGTTTAAAGACCAAAATCCAGTATATAAATCGACATATGGATGGAGTAAAGAAGGTGTGTAAGGATACAAAGATATTGAATAACAGAGCTGGAAGGGGACTTGGAGGTTTTCTAGTCCACCCCCCTTGCTCGAGCAGGAGAGTTTACTCCATTTCAGATAAATGGCTGACCAATTTCTTTTTAAAAACTTCCAGTGTCGGAGCACTCACAACTTCAAGAGGAATAGTGAATAATCAGAAGAATAGGAATAGATGTAAATTCGACTCAGATATATATTCCCTTTTCTCTTATCTAATGCCTCAATTTGTTAGGCTCACCACTTTCTAACTCATTTTCTTTCTTTCTTTCTTTTTGCGTTGAGAAAAGACATCAACTGCATCAAATTTTCCATTCAACCTTTTTCCTTTGGTGGAAGGTCAGCTGAATGGCATTATTGAGAAAAATCAGCCTTGTTTAAATCCAGGGGATTTCCTGTAGAGAAAGACGCCACAGAAATATTTTTCTTCCAGGGATTTCTTGGGATCCGTTGTAATTGGAAGAAGAATAACATTTCACAAGCACTCAAAGCTCTGTAAAACAGGGGTCTCCAACCTTGGCAACTTTAAGCCTGGAGGACTTCAACTCCCAGCCAAAAAAGCAGCTTTAAAAACAAATCATGGTAAGATCACAAGCCAGGGAAAAATTAGAGACAGAAATGCATATGTTGGTAAGAGTCCATGTCTAAGGTACGAGTCTTATGGAATGAGAAATGGGAAGAACATTATGTTTAACTTGTAGGTTTTTTTAAAAAAGCAACAACAATAAAGATCAAACAAGAAGCATTCTCTTCTTCAATATTCTTCAGTTTTATCCATAACATAGCGCAGAGCCAATTTTTGGGCAGAATGAGCCCTGTGGCAAAAATTCCTTCATATTAACACCCCACCCACCTTCTGCTTTGAAACTTACAGACAACTGAGAAAAGAGTCTGTATCTGGACATTTTGCAAGGATTTCTGAACGTTGGGATTCATTTATCATGACCCAACACCCCACCTCCTCCCCATCTTATCTTTCAAATGCTTCAGATCAATTTTGGGGTACTGGATAAGAGGAAATGCTGACTCAGTCTAAGAAGCTATTTTGTTTTGATCCAACAAACCGCTTCCACTCAATCTGCTAACCATATACTGTCTACTGACAGCATACACAGTGGTTCCTCAGCCATTTTCTACTAGAGATGGAACGTTCATATCCAAGTAATAAAAGGTTTTGTTTGGTCTTCCAGAGGGAAAAAAAAATAAGGAAAACTTAATGGAAAACAGGAAAATGTTTGTAGGTCGGTAAGCAAACCAACTGTCAAGATAAATGTCAGAGGGGATTAAAATTTCTGCTTAGATATTTTGAAGCCAGCTGTGTGGCTCAACAGTCTTTGGCTCCCAAAGTTTGTCTTCCAGTGCTATAAAGAAGAACAATCCCACCACTGAAGAAGACCTTCCATCGTGGGGCATCTACCGCGAGGCAGAGGAAGGAAGGGAAGAGAATTCAGGATTCTTGCCAGGTCGGTGGTGCATCTGGGCTTTCTTGTCTTCTGGTGGTTATTGCTTGGGCATGGCAAAATCCCAAGCGGTCTCTTGAGCACATTTCCACATAGCCCTCATCAGACGTGTGAAGCCCATGTCTTTGGGTTTCTCCAAGCCCCTCATGAGCCTCTGCTTCATGATGGCAACAAATTCCTTATTGCTCAGCTCTCCATTTCCTGAGGGAAGAAAAGGGAAGACCAGTTCAGAAAATGGAAAATGTAAACAACAACAACAAACAACAATGCCGCCTATGCAAAGAAGCTGAAGAAACAGTGGACTACCTGGTAAGCTGCTGCAAGAAGATTGTACAAACTGACTACAAGCAGCGACATTACAAAGTAGCAACAATGGTGCATTGGAAAATGTGCAAGAAATATCATTTGCCCGTGAACAAGAATTGGTGGGATCATAAATTAGAAAAAGTCATATTGGTACAGGAAATCACCAATGAACAATTAGACCTATTGGGGATCTTAAAAAAAAATATGTAAAGAGCACAAAATACTTATTATTACAACTGTTGACTGCTGCTAGGATCGCCTTTGCCCAATGTTGGAAACAGCCATATATATCCGCAGAGAAACTGGTTATACAAAAAATTATGAATTGTGCTTAAATGGATAAATTAACGCTGAGTTTAAAAGATAAAGAAGATTCAATATTTTATAAGGTGTGGGAGCAATGGTATACCTGGATAGATCGGAGATAGATTACGGATAGGTAATTATTAAATATAGAATATACATAGAATAAGAATGTAATTATGCACAAGTAAATATTGCACAAATTATTGTCATACGATAAGCACCACAAATAGCTGTTATTGAGTGATGTATTTTTTATGTTTTTAATGTAATAAAAATTCAATAAAGTATATTTTAAAAAAATAGAAAAAGTCATAGAAAATGAAAAAGTTAAATTGTTCTGGGACTTCAGAATCCAGACAGACAGGCACCTGCCACATAACACTCCAGACTTAACAGTTGTCGGTAAGAAAGACAAAAAAAGTCTGGATAGTGGATGTGGCAGTGCCTGGAGACAGCAGAAGAGAAGAGAAAGAACTGGAGAAGATGACAAAATACAAAGACCTACAAATAGAAATAGAATGACTATGGCAAAGGCAAACAAGGGTAGTACCAATAGTAATAAGCACCTTGGGTGCAGTGCAGTCCCAAAACAACTGAAGCACCATTTGAATACCATAGGCATTGACAAATTTGCCATCTGTCAATTGCAGAAGGCAGCTTTACTTGGAACAGCTTCCATCCTGAGGCAATATCTGTAACACCATGAAACATCCAGATTTGCCCATCCCTGGTCCTTGGTAAGGACTTGATAGGTAGACAAAAATGACAAACCCAGTCTGAACATCTGGCTGACTGTGCGATGAATAATAATAATAATAAAAAAACTTGCAGCATCCCTGTCCAAAAAGTTTAAGTCACTGAAGACTAATTTCATTGGCCCGGTTTCCCTCTTGATTGGAAACACTAATTTCATTCGTGATGTCTAAATAAATTATGGCAGAACACTGGTATAATTCTTACCAGTGTCATTCTCTCCACAAAAGAAACCCACCAGAATTATTATTATTTTTTTTTAAAAAAAGGGGTAATTGTTAAATGAAAGCATAGCCAACAATTTCTTTGTGGCCCAATTCTTCATCTGTTTATTATTTTAGGCAGAGCCTCTCCTGTTGTTCTAATTATCTTTGTTCATTACCCACATTTCTGATTCAGAAATGCTATACTGTATTCCAGGTTTTGATGGTTCCTTTATGGAAATAATAAAGTTATTATTACTACAGAGCTCTGGTCATTCTTGTTCACCATGACGGGTGGAATGGAAAAAGAGAAATTTTTTGAGAATTAAAAAACAAAAAGCCTTATTCTCATAATCAAATACATGTATAGACAAAGCCAACTAAAATACAAAGACCCGTTGTCATGAATAGATGAAATCCTGGCCCTTTAATTATTATCGTGAACTCTGATTATTAAGAAACCGAATGTAATCATGGTCTTCCGCTGAAATAGCGCCTTGCTCATAATTTGGAGAAAGAGGTTATTTCATAAAAGTTATTTTTCAGCAGCCTTGTTGAAAGCTTATAATTTAAAATAGGTATTAAAGCAGTATATTACAGTTCTTCCCTTCTACTCAGTAATGAAAGCAACTCCTGCCTGGATTAAATTTACCAGCAATTGAAACCATGCTAATAAGATTGGTACATGGGTTTACATGCACATATATTATAACTTCGATTTTCTCTACTATTCTTTCATGTCGCATTTAAAGAGGTATTTAAAGAAATGGGAGCAGGAATGTTTTTCCTCCTATGTTCAAATGAAAGAGTTGATTGATGCCAAGGAAAAGTGATACAAGCTGGCTTTGATTAATGCAGTTAATGAATTCCACAACATTATCATCACCTTATTTGAATTTGCACCATTCAAAGTGATATTTCTGTGAAAAAAATATGGTAATTGATGAAAAGAGGCAAAGAGAAACTTTCAACATAAATGTTTATATGCGTATTAGTGAAATATTATCATAAAGAATTAAAAACAATATATATTAATTTAAATTTATGGTCTACAACAGAGGCCCTCAAACTTGACAGCTTTAAAACTTGTGGACTTCAATTCCCAGAATTCCTTCTCCAGTCATGTTAACTCAGGAATTCTGGGAGTTGAAGTCCACAAGTCTTAAACTTGCCAAGTTTGAAGACCCTTGGTCTACAAAGTCCAAATATAGAAAACAAAATAAAAACAAAAGAATTCTGTTATAGATGTCACACATTCTAACATCCCCTGGTTTTAGTGATGTTATGATCTCTCTCATGTTGTTCAATTGCATCAAATTTCTACTCTAATAAGATTTCTTTAAAAAGATTGTAATGTTTTCCTCTGCTGGAATCTTTCTTTTCTCTATTTTGTATACACAAAGAGTAGCAATGTCTAAGACCCCAACCGTAACTGTGCATGCGCGAGCCTCATTGACTTTTTTAGGTTGCATTAAAGGCCCAAAATTTGCACCACATCGAATACACATTTTTCAAACTCACACTAATTGTGACCTAGTTGTACAATGAGCTAAGATTCGGAGAGGCTTTTATAACAAACAATACTGCATTCCAGACCCAGTCAGACTTCTCTGGGTGGGGGAAATGCCTTTTATTGCCATTGAAAATTATAATTTAATAATTCTATCAAACATACATGCTTAGGGACTTTCTGACAGTATCTGGTCTTGCCATTTTACAAGGATGTAGTTAGAAGCGGAAAGCTGACTCTAAAATAACTTCTTTCTTTTTATGCACAATAGGATTTATTGACTTTATCCAGCAGCTGAGCAAATACGTTGCAAATATCCTTTTTTAAATTAAATTTTATTAATTTTCTATTAATTACATTTCTTAGTGCTTATTAAACATCATGTTGTCTGAGCATTTAATTTGCTTAATAATACAGATTTCATTCTTACTCTCCACCTCTTTTTTCCAAATACTTTTAGAATAAGTTCCCTGTTAGATAATATTCTGTATCTTCTTTCTGTTTGATTTTCAACGTAAGCCTATCCATTTCTGGACAATCTAATATTTTCTTAATTATCTCTTCAACTTGCGGTGTTTCTTTATTTTTCCAATATTGTGCGAAGATCATCCTTGCTGCTATTAAGACATGTAATATTGAATACATACTTTTCTTATCAATTTTTTCTGATATCACCCCTAATAAAAACAGCTCAGGTTTAAAATCTACATGTTCCTCTATTATCTCTTCTAGCCATCTGTGTATTTTTGCCCAATTTTTTTTGTTTTAACACAAGTTCACCACATATGATAAAATGTGTCCGTTTTTTAAAAAAAATTACATTTCCATGTTGCAAATATTTTTTCTACTACAGGTAGTCCTTGACTTACAACACTTCATTTAGTGATCATTTGAAATTATAATGGCACTGAAAAAAGTGACATATGACTGTTTTCACACTTAGATCATTGCCATATCCCCATGGTCAAATGATCAAAATCCAAATGCTTGGGAACTGGCTCGTAATTATGATGGCCGCAGTGTCCGAGGGTCATGAAATCACCTTTTGTGACCATCTGACAAGCGAAGTCAGTAGGGAAGATTCACTTAACAACCTAACTAACTTAACAACTGCAGTAATTCACTTAAGAACGTTGGGAAGAAAGTTTGTAATATGGCCCAAAAATTCACTTAACCACTGATTGGATTAGCAAAAGAAATTTTGTAGAAATGACTGTGTATACTATTATGGTAAAACAATACATTATTCTATTGTAACAGATAAGAGTTGGAAGTCAATACTTCAGTTTCTTTTTCTTTCCCTACCCTTCCTCATTTTTCTTTGCCCTTTCCCCTTCCTTCTCCCTGTCCTCTTATTTGCTTTTGTATTTTGTATTTTATAATACTTTACAACCCAATAAAAATGTATTCAAAAAAAATAATTTGGACTCAGTTGTGGTGGTAAGGTGAGAGCTACCTGTGTTTATTGTTCTTTCCCCCCAAAATTACAACCTACATTTTAATTTGTAATTATAAATTGTAAAACACAGTTATTGGTACATTTTCTCAGTTCACTGAATTTATAACTCTACAGGTGGTCCATTATTTTAGTCCAAAATAAACTAGGGGAAGCTAACGTGATACATAGCTGACATGGTGAAACACAAAAAGAAACATCTCGGTGAAACAGAAACACCACTAATGTGGATTACCCAACAAACCTTTTGTTATAGTCATTAACCAGAAATCCAACATAATAAATAAACAATACCCGATGCAGAATAAAACAGTCAATTTTCAGTTGTAAAGTTTCTATTGTATATGGTCATTCTCTGCCTAGCGGAAAAAGAGAAGACTTCAGGATTATTATCAGCTATGAAATTGTTCAGATGACTAGGAAGATTGTTAAAGTAATGGCTGGAACATCAGTTGTCTTACACCGGCCTGTTTGGTGTAGCAGTTGAAATTGAATTTTTCTTCTGAAGTTATAATTTATTTTAAGAGAAAAACCAACATGAGCATCTGGTTTTACATCAAAAGCTGCTCTCAGAGAAGTATGAAGTAGAAAAATATTCTCTGCTCATTTAGTAGACATCATGTTGGCTCACCTCAAAATGCAAGCCAAATAAAGTGTCCAAGAATCC